AAATTAGAGATAACCCTGTTAGTGTAGTGGTTGCAGAGTGGCATAAAGGAGAGCTGAAAATTTATATTGTCAGTGTAAAAAGCTATATAAACATTAAATGAATTCACTAGTTGTAAGCAGGAAAAAAACTTTATTTCTATCAAACTGAAAAGTATGAATCAATCTTCAAGCAAGATAATCAAAATCATCAATAATACAATTAACAGTTAGAATAGCATATACAGATAAAACTACAGGTTTAGATACTTTGAATTAAGTACATACACCAAAATCAAGAGGGCCGACAACTGTCACACTGAGGAAAAGCATTCTGACTCATCGTAAACACACGGCTTCTGGGAAACGAGTTGACATTTCACAGGACAGTAAACTAGAGACAGGTTGTCATTGGGTTAGAAAACTGATATGAGCTTCAGAGGGATCACAGTGAAATGCCATTGTAACTCAACAATTTCCCCAGAGATCTGTTCATCTCAAAAACAATTAATATATAAAAATCAGTAGTACAGATTCTCATAAAACTAGAAAAGCCCTCTAAGTCCTAATATCCTTGGAGCTTACATAAAGACTGAGTTTTTATTTTTCTTCCCTTTACTTTCTCTAAATTAAATACAAAATAGTTTGTTTCTATTTAGTACATTTCTGACTTTATAGCCAAACCTTTAAAATGAGGAAAAGAAAGGTTTTATAACATGTATGAGACTCACACCAATCCCAGGGAGAATCTTCAAGATGGTCTGCTCCAAACAGGAAATCTCTTAAAGAATGATAATGTGCTTCCTAGATTAGCCTAATTATTACAGATGAATAATGCCATGAGAGCTTTCATCCTTTTCGAAATATTTTACAATCTCTCACACACACCATGCACATACAAAATGATCAAATTGGAAAATTCCCTGAAGTATACAGATAGTGACATTTATTCTGGCAAGAATTGTGCAATTTGTTACTAGAAAGATAAGGTATGGTGTTTATGAACAATTTTAAGTATATTATGTCTCAACAGATGCAGAAAGATTTTTTTTTTCTTCATAATTGAAATACAACTTCATGGTTTCCCAGCATCTGGGTCTTGCATGCTTCTCATCTGGAAACCAGACTGGATCAGTTATATATAGAATGGAATGACAACTTATGACCAGGTCACCTTCCCGTATTAAAAGAAGTCTCCATTACTGGGTTCTTCTTTCGAGACACCAAATAGACCAGGGAGTTGCTAAAAATGGAGGCAGGCAGTGAGAAAGGAATTCATACTATGAACAGGACTTTACCTTATGAATTGACTCTCTGGCAAAATCGAATGCAGAAAGAAAAGACACTGTTCAATGAAAGGTAATAAATGAAACCCATCAGGTGGACACAAATGCCTCCTGAGATCCTATAGTCCAGCAGAGTACAGATGAGACATATGCCTTTGTATGTACACTGTGCAGCTACACCATGACACACTGAGCACCCATTTCCTGTCTCAGCACCAGAGTGCCAAAAGCAAAGATGCCAGGCTGGAGCAAATATATTGTTTTATCTATTAACAAGAATGGGGAGCTCAAACTAGGAAAAGGTACAAAATAGGCCCTTCTGAATGCCCTGATTAATCCCTACAGGTACATGAAAACACATTTTTAAAAACAGATTTCAGTTTTTAAATACAAGGAGAAAAATAACTGAGATAATATCTATTATACAAGGTAATTATTGAGGACTTAATTAAACATTAGACAATGCATGTAATGCGCTTAGCATGAGTAAATAAACTACTAAGAAGACCTAAACCTTAACACATTTGGAAATATGCTGCCTTTATGATTTGAGCAAAGACTTCCAGCAGGCTTGAACTCTTCAGACAAATAGCTAAAGTCAAATATTGAACTCAGGTTCCAGTGAACTAAATTTTATAAAAGCTCTAAATATGAGTTTGGGCAGACATCTATCTAAAATCACCTTGTCTCAAATTTTAAATAGCAAGAAAAGCCACAGCAGTACCCCTAAGAATCCTCCCATACCCATGGCTATTCTTACCTTTTTCCTTCCCTACCAAAGAGACAGGCACTCCTTGGGTAATACTAGAGCTCATCTGACCTTGGCTGCTGGAGGGTGGTAGGGGAGTGATTCCCGGGGAAGGAGAACAAGACAAGAAGTGAATATCCCCGGCTACAGCCACAATTGTTGCATGACAAGCATATGGCAGGCAAAGGTTTGAATTTGGCAATCAGAATCACGTTAATGTGTAATGTAACATAGGGACAATGGTACAAGTCAAGGGTTACTTTGGGTTAGATGCTCAATCACCATTTGTTCATCTATTACCACTTTCAGAAGAATTAGTTTATCATCAAGACCTTGTGTAGGGTGGGAGGGAGGGAGTGATTTGTTCTGATCTCAGGGAAGAAAAGTGAGTAGTGTCTGGATAGCTCCAAGGAGCCCAGGCCTATGTGTGAGTGCCATGACTGGGGATGGCTCAAGGGTAAAGGCTCCGTCAGGGGCACAACAAAATGGACATCAAAAAGGTAGGTGAGCAAATTGCAACATGAGCTTGCCTCCTCCACAGATTAGCCTGGACCCAAGCCCAGCCTACTTCAACAGCCTTGTAGCCTATGCATAAATGAGGAATTAGGGAGAAGGATGAAGGGCTCAGACTCTCCTTTAGCAGCTTCCTTTGCTTAAGCAAAGGGCGGGGGGGGGGAGGAACAGTCTCAGTCTCATACAGAGGTGAACATTCCTTTAGTGAACTCTGCTATTCTTGATGTGAGGCCACGTGCAGAACAAAGCAGGCTCAGGGTCAAGGGTTCCTTGGGACAGTACACAGGTATTTAACATCCAGGAACAAACTCAGTCTTCCAAGTCAGGAAAACACCGGTCTGATTCCCAGCTACACTGTTCACTGACAGCAGAAGCCTGGGCAACACACTTCACATCCCTGACCCCTGCCCTCTTTGTGCGATCATGCCTATCTCATAGGATGCTAGAAAGATCAAGTGAGACATTTGTAAAGGTCCTAAAACTGCACATTTCACTCAGCAGGCCTTCAATAAATGGTACCTATCACAGTTTACCTTAGTGTTAGAGCATATTGAACATGGCAGCATTTCCGAGTTCTAAGTGGGAAGCCTTTTAGGATAAAGACAAACAAACTAAATTAAGAACTGGGTAGAATCACTGAATGTGCGGTCAGGTCAGAATTTTACAGACCATCCAAACAATTCTCTGTGCTTAAAAGTGAAAGAACTTTTCACATGTGGCAGTAGAAGGAAAACCAAGAAAAGACGTCCCTTTAATTTTACTTTTGCCAAAACATTTTCAAGATAACTTTAATTTTTACATAATCATTTAAGGTAAAACTAGAGAGTTTGTTGAAAAAAATCAGAATTTTAGGCCACTGAACATGAAACAAGCATCATCTTTCAAGAGCCATGGAAAAGTTCGTCTCTTACTGGTCTCACCCAGCAAAATGACCCTCAGTTGCTGGGCAATCTCAGCAACGGCCATGGAAAAGATGTTCGTCTCTTACTGGTCTCACCCAGCAAAATGACCCTCAGTTGCTGGGCAATCTCAGCAACAGCAAACACTGTTGAAAGTTACTGAGTGACTCAGTGTTAGCTACAATTGTCTATTTAGCCGGAAGGGAAGAGGGGGGAAAGGACGGATGGAGAAGTGGAGTGTGAAATCAGGATCAAGCCATTTCTCATACCTCTTCCCAAAACTCCAAAGGCAATGACTACATTGGAGGGTCTGCTAAACACAATGGGAAGTAAAGAAAGAAATCTGAAGATTTTTCTGCTTCTGAAAAAGTACACACTTTCCTCTTTGAATTATACACATATTAACTTTAATTCTACTTTTCCTAGTTTGCAATCGTCTCCATGCAGTACTACTCTAAATTGTGCAATTCTCCTCATATCAGACTTGTTTTTCTCTATACCTGGCTTCCCAGAAACTTAATCTATATGTCTGATTTTCACCCTGTCCCCATGAGCTGGCATTCAAATGCAACTCTTCTAAAGTGCTCAGTGTCAATATAATAACCGACGTTTCATAGACCTGAACTTGGCGTTTTCATTGCATAAACCTAAAGTAAACAATATTATTTCACTGTGATTGAGAAGATGAAAAGGAGATTGGTCTATATTTCCACTAAGGTAGCCAAAGAACATTCACATGAAGGAACAAGGGGAGAGGAACTGGCAAGAGTTTGGGCAGTATTTATAAGGAAGATGCACTCATTAGTGTGCAGAATATATATGGCAGTGAATTGACTGGGGATTCGCTGGGATATCTTCAGAAAGAAATGTGTTTCAACACCACTGAAAGTATGGAAATAGACTTTTTTTTTTCTTTCTCTCACCAGTATGAAGAATTAGACAGAAGCCAGGAATAGTAAAGGATGTTCCCTGGGGACAGTCAAGATGCATGAAGAAGGGATACATACTTTTAAGGCAGCAGGAATAAATTTCATTGTCCTTCCCAGAGGAGAGCAAGAATTATCTAAGATGGCCACCAAGTCTGGAAACCAGGCAAATCTTTTAACAAATGGTTTATTGATATTACATTACAATGAATGACAAAATATTAGTATCTATATTTCTAGACTTTATGGCCACCCCGTAGAATGCATCTTTGGAATAGGAAAAATAAATAAAGATTTTGTTTTCCCATAATTGTAAAGCTGTCACTCACTCTAGGCACAGCTAGTGCGACATTCTCCTCAACCCCACTGGCTCCATTCCCTTTACAACCTATTCATAATATGCTTGGGTCACTCACAGGAGAAAAACACTGTCAATATCAATATTTAGCAGCATCTTCAAAACACATTTTGCTGTCTTGAATAAAAAGCTTAACTACTTATTCTATTAGTCCAGTAATTCCATATGGTCTTATTACTTCCATATGTATAAGATATGATCTTTCAACATTTATGTAGGTAGATCTTTTTCTTTTTCTTTTTTCTTTTTTTTTTTTTTTGGGGGGGGATCCCAAGAGGCTTTTGGGGGTTTGGAGGAGGATCCCAAGAGACTTTTGGGGGTTTAATTTTTTCACAATGAAAGAAGCAATGTCAACCCATGAGAGTCAGACCAGCAGTTTAAGTTAAGACCCTCCACATAGCTCAGTTCCCAGTGTACGAAGAGATTCAACATAGTCCCCTAGCTCCCAGTTCTTAGAAAGAAGAATTTGAGAGGGAAAAATGCAATAACAATCTGTATTATTTAATAGCCTAGGAAGAGAGAAAACAGACGTTTAAAAAAAAATAGCCTAAAAAAAAAAAAGTAGAAGCCAAATCCTTTCATCCCAGGATGTATAAAAAGGAGAGATTCTATGGAACATGGATTTAGAAAAGGATGAGTCACTCCTACCAGAAAAAAATGAATTGTGGACACAGTCACTCAAGACCAGAAAAGCAACCACTGAGAGCAATTAGCTTTAATTCCATTGTTACCAGGGGAGCACACACTAGAGAACCTGGCACAAAGCCCAGGCTGGACCCTTTGGCATTCGTAGGCTTACTGGTGCAACACCCTTTGGGCAGGTAGGGAGAACCAGAGACTACCACCATCATCTGTAAAAAGACTACTAAACAACAACATGGCTGTCAAAAATCAGCTAGAGCTTAGGTCATACACTGTTTAAAATCCAGCCTGTGCTTGCTTTCTTGTGAAGAGCTTGAGACATGTGCAGAGATACCTTACACATGTATAGGTAACTCTTCTTATAAAAGGCAGCGGGCCTCTTCATGAACTCTTTCTCTTTTTAGTTTTCCTATCAGTTAACCATTTAAACTAGAAAAGATGCTGCAAGCTATCTCAGCTAGCTTCTAATTTGGACATGGCACCAATACTACACACACAATTAAATGAATGGCCACATCTTCCTGGTTCTTCCATTGGCAGGCTCAGTATGCTTCTTTGGACTGAATAGGTGTGATCTTGTTTGAAAAAAGCGTGTAAACATAGGGCCAAATTTTGTTAGTCTCCGTCCCAGAAAATTGGTGGAGCACTCCTCGGCTCCTGAAAAACAAAGTCCAACATACAAAGTCATTTTAGGTTTCTTCGTAACATATTCAGGCAGATGAAGATCCTAGGTATAAACAATTATGATCTTATGGTCTTTATCACACACCACTAAATGCCAAAACAGCCCCTTTCGAATGTATAAACACTTCCACTAGGCATACCTACATAAGGCTATAACTTGTGCATTTCTTGCCCGCTTGCCATGATACCACCATTTTTTTCTCCCCTTTAAGACATATCAATTAATAACACTATAGAGGCAATCCCAAATCCACTTCAATATATACTTTTCAAAAGAAAATCACTGACACACTTTGGTACACTAAACCCATATTACTTACAATTGATCATGGAACACAGGATGTATCATCATAATATGATCAAGAAACTGATCTAAAGATTTGCTGAATTATTGGGGGACTACAAAGGCTAGAAATCAATTATAGGGGAGTCTATAAAGTGCAATCCTGAGTGCAGTTAGCATATGGTTTTGTTTGGCTTGCATGCCATTTCCAAATTTTTAATTGAGAACCAGATTTCTACTTCTCCTCAAACACAGGAATCTGTCACACTGGGCCTGTGTGCCCCTGTGGTGATAAGTAGCTGGACCAGCCTAGGAGCTGTCCAGTTCAACTGTCACTCAACTGCCCTGTTTGACATACTCCTACCAGGTTTAACACTCATTGCCAATACCTGCCTGGCCCCTGTAGCCTTTTGAATTTGCAAACCCTAGCTTATGGTTTTAGCTTTTCCTTGTTAAACTCTCTATAGACACACTCCAGCCAAAAATCCCTTCTAGTCTTCTACCCAAATCAGATATTTACATAATGGAGTGTCAATATACAGACAATTATTTCAGCCACTTAAAAAGAATAATGAAAATAAGTATAGGTATAGTTTTATATCAAGAACATTCAGATGATCAGGTTTAGGTTGTTATGTTCTAACAATTTCATAATAAATATACTAGACTTTATCTCCATGTACAATTCCAGCATTTCATCTGACTGCTGGGGGAGGTAATAAGCCTTTAGAGTTTATCTTGCTTAAAGAAACACTACCCTACTCTCAACCCAATATCCTGCCCAGAAGGCTCCACACTAGCTGGCCCTTTGCCGTAAAAATTTTGAAGCACTCACTTGTATAATTCAATGACTGGCTTTGCCACGTCCTTGTACTGTCTTAGCCTGACGGCGACTGCTTCAGGTTTATCATCCTCCTGCTGTACTAATGGTTCACCAGTGATGTCGTCAACCCCCTACAAGTACCAGAGAAACCAGTTAATACAGCCAAATGTTGGGCCATTCCATAGGTCAGAACTTTCCTGTGCAAAATGATGTTATTCACCTTTGACTCCCACCACATGATGAGAAAAGAAATAGCACGCTTAATAGTAAGTTAACCTTATTTCCTAACAGTTGACACTAAATCTTTATTGACAACACAGATCTGTCCAAACATGTTCCAGTATTGCTGATAAATGGTACTTTCAATTCAGTCTAAAATTCCACGCAAACTCCCCCAACAACAAACCTTTAGACAATGTCACTCCCACCCTCTAAATATTCCTCAAACTGTCCTGCTTTATAAAGCCTGAGTTCTTATTATGAAAAATAAAATGTCTCAAAGAACCAGCTTGGTTTACTTAGGGAATATATGAATCTAGGAGAAGATATTTCATTATCATCTCTATCATCTTTCAAACTGTATCATGTAGCTTCTCTGAAATTTATCTTACTTGGTTATTTTACCAGAAAAATAATGACATATCTAAAGGTGTATAAAAATAGACATGACTCACGACCCATGGGACAAAGATTCTGAGAATTGAAAAAATTTTTATTTAAAAAAAAACCCTGGTTTTCAATGTATTTTAACCTCCTCAGACCAATGCCTATTTACAAATAGCAAAGTAGACATCAGAATTTTGGATCCTATGTCCATGGCCATTACTCACCAGGGGAGACAGTCACAAGAAATAAATCTGTCAAAAGGCAGGCTAGAGCAGAATCAAAAGGCTCAGGCAACTCAACTGGATAATGATAAACTGGCTATAAATTTGAAACACACTAAAATTCCATTACAGCTCAGGGCCTTGGGTATATGACTTACACTTATGATTTATTGGTGAGCCACATAATTATCACATGTGTATTCCATGGTTTTTAACCTGACATGACAGGAGAAATGGGGATGGGAGGAGGCCATACATCATCTATATTCTCCTCTTTATTTTACTTACAGCCACAACACTCAGAAGTCATCTCCAAGATTTCAGATCACCAGCAAATACAATACTGCTTTCAGAAAGAGCAGACTGATGCTGGAGTAACCACATCCCACCTTCCTGGGGAGCCTGGCCACAGCGGCTGGGAGAGTTGGTCCAGGTTAGAACTTTCACGGCTGTCTTTAGAAGTAGCATTGTAATTGCAGATGTTCTTTTAGGGAAACCCAGGCTTTGGAAAGCAACTCAGTGGTAAATCTTTTCAAATTTTATAAGAATCTGTGCATCAGCAGGTGTGGACAAAGCCAAAATGTGAAGCATTTGTGTTGCACTCGGTGTTCCCATCTATATTTTCAGAACTCCCCTTTCCCCCCCACCCATTTCTTTTTTCTTATTGCAGCTTCTTGAAATGGAAATGAGAAAGGGAATAAAAGAATTACAGAACTATTTACATTTTTAAAAGGAGACTAGTGCTTAACCCAAATGAACAAATCTTATTGGGACTTTACTAACACAACAGCATCTAAGAGTTGGGAAGTCATCCTCCTGAAGTAGTTTTCTGTAGTAATTACTGACTTCATCTATATTCAAGTCTAGAATTACAGAACTATTTACATTTTTAAAAGGAGACTAGTGCTTAACCCAAATGAACAAATCTTATTGGGACTTTACTGACACAACAGCATCTAAGAGTTGGAAGTCATCCTCCTGAAGTAGTTTTCTGTAGTAATTACTGACTTCATCTATATTCAAGTCTAACCTTTTCCATAAAGAGCAGCCCAGTAAGACACAATGCCACTTTTCACACATCTGGAAGATAACAAATAATACCATCTACCACCCAATAATTACAGTTAATATGACCAGAATGAATTAATGCATTAGTTCAATCTGTATCAGATAAATATAGACATGGTCTATAAGAAAAAATAGTAGCTCTTTAAGTGAATTTATTAAAGTATCTTTATACATATACTTTTATACATGTTTAATTTTCAGCAGTTTTATCAATGTTATATTTTGAACTTCTTCTTAAGGGCAATCTTCCAATCACCTTAACATTCCCCCCTCCCCCATCCATATTCCCTTATCCAGTCCCAGCCCCAGGCTCTTTGCTAGCCCAGGATATATCCTTCATAATTTGTGCCCTGATCATACAAAGCTAGAGGACATATACACACAAACAGATATACAAAAAGAGGTGTAGTCATTGTTTTACAAAAATGGGATCATTCTGCTGTTCGCTTTTCTCATTCAACAAAACCTTCAGGAAATCTGTCCATGTCAAAAAGTATAGTACTAATTCATTCTTTTTACTAACTACATTATATACCAAGATAATGTGAATGTTCTCAAATTTATTTAACTGTTCCCCTACAAATGAACATTCATTTTGTTTTCTGGTGTTTTTTTGGTTTTGTTTTTTGGCCACTATGAACAAAACTGAAATACGCATCACTGTATACATGACCTTCTCTGCTAGTGCTTTCACTTCCATAGACTATTCTCCCAAGGGTGAGTTGAATGAAATATTTACTTAAAACTTTTAATGTACATTGCCATGTTGTTTTAAAGAGGTTATTAATACTTTATCTAACAAAAATGAGAACACTGTAGTCCCCCCTTATCTGCAGGGGATACCTTCCAAGACCCCCAGTGGATACCTGAAACTGTGGCAAGTACCAAACCCTGTAAGTTTTTTCCTACACATACCTATGAAAAAGTTTAATCTATAAATTAGGCGCAGAAAGAGATGAACAACAATAACTAATAATAAAATGGAACAGTTATAACAATATACTGTAGTAAAAATTATGTGGCTGTGGTCTCTCCCTCTCTGAAAATATCTTAAATTACTATCTGAAAATTCGAACTACGGTTGACTGCAGGTAACTTAAACCGTGGAAAGTGAAACTGCAGTTAAGGGGTACTACTGTACTATTTTTCCCAGATACCCATCAGCAATAGATGTGGTAATCTTTTAAATTTTTCCCAGTCCAATGGATCCAAAGTGATATCCTCTTTTTACTTAAGTTTCCTTTCCCTAACTACTACTGAATTTAAACATTTTAAAAATGGTGTTGGGCCATGTAGATCTGCTCTTTTTTCAATAGTCTATTCATATCTTTTACCCACTTTTCAACCTAAATTTCTTGCCTTTTTCTTGCCAGTTTATAAAAGCACTTTTTATATTCTTACATGTACGTGAGGTGGATTGAAGTCCAGGTTATAAACCCTTCCACTAGGAGGGTGAATCCAGCGTCGGCTGAGACGATCTTTAAGTGTTTCAAATGGAATGTTCAAACTGATCACTAGATCCAGCTCACAGATTTTGTCCAGGGATTCAGCCTGTACTAATGTCCTAGGAAAACCTAAATGCCAAAAACAAACATGTCAAATGCAAGATATTGCCCAATTCCAATAAGTCCTTGAAATATTTTCAGTGACAGAATAATCAACTCTGCATATACCATCCAAAAAGGAGCTTTAACCAAGAATTTATATCTATACCTCCACATAAATTTAATATTTGAAGAAAACATGCTATTTTATAACCTAGCTTCTGCATCTGGAAGACTCAAGGATTAGGAGTCATATGATAAAAGTAGAAAGTACATTAAACTAAAAATCACTAAACCAGTCCTGCCTCGCTCTTAACTACTGTGTGACCTTAGGCAAGTTACCTCACCTCCATTTCCTCCTCTGTTAAAGAAGGGACAAAATTATATCATGTGTCCTTTTAGCTCTAACAGTTTATATCATTCTTAGGTTAGCAAAAATATTTATATACATATATTTTAGAGTCTAAATCAATTAAAGTGGGATACTTTGTCGAGAACTTCACCTGCATCTGCACTTCAATCAAGGTGGGCAATCTAATGTACCACATGGTGACTATAGTTAATAATGCTGTATTGTATACTTGAAATGTGCTCACAGAGTTGACTTTTAAGTGTTCTCACACAACAAAAAGGAAAAAAAATCATACTTATGTGAGGTGATGGATATATTAATTAAGCTTGTGGCAATCATTTCACAATGTATATCAAAACATCACATAGTACACCTTAAATATATACATTTTTTATTTGTCAAGTATACCTCGATAAAGCTGGGGGGAAATTTTTTAAATTAAAAAAAAATTCAAGTCTGATTTCAAAAAGAACGAGTGCTTTTAAAACTGGGTACTGTAAAACATAAATTCTTCCTACTTTTCTAAATGTAGGAAAATAAGCAACAAAATTAAAATTTGGGCTCATGGGCAACTCTTCCCCTTTTTCTTGATGCATAAGCTCTGAGTGATCCTAGGAGTTAGGTCACATGACCCTGGGCTATATTTTTTTCCCAGAGAGAGACCTGTTTGAAATGTAACTCCAGGTCTGGCTGTAGGAGGACTGCACAGGAGTACCTTTTTCCTAAATAAATCACTCCAGTTAGTTTGCTCTGGTAAAAGCCTAACTATATCTAATAATCACTCTTTAAATAACATCTTTATAACCTAGTTAGGCAAAAGAATAAGGTGGATGGAGAACTGGAAAGAAAGTGTAATAAGAGATGCAACATTGAGAAGGGAAACTTTTAAATCCCTTCAGATAAGGACACCAGCCCATCTCTACCCTTTTATCACTGGAAGTACCAAGAGGACAGCTTAAAAATGGGTCTTCATGACCCTGTAATACTTCATATTCAAAGAATTCCTTCTGCTAGTGCAGAAAGTCAGTTGCTCAAACATGAATGTGTTGCACTCTGCAATGAAATCCCAAAGAGGTATGGATGCCAAGCAATTTCAGTGTGCTTGTTCAGTTGAAGGTGATAAAAATCCATCCAATGGTTGTCTCATTCACCTGCTGCTTGCCAATCTCTGCTGCAAATTCTCTGAAATGCTCCCTCCAAAGCCCTTTTCACTGCCTGTGAGCCATCCACATGAAGTTACCCTCTCACCAACTGTCAGTCCTGCCTCTCCCTGGATCACCCACTCTTCGCTAAAACTTCAAGATGACAACTGAAGTTAGAAAGGTGCCAGCAGCAAAAACAACCAGGATCATCTCTAAACTCTTTCCCCAAACCTCTGCCACATCAAGGAAAAGCATTTTCCAATACAGTGGCTTTCAAAGTGACCCTCATTGGAGTACAGAAAGAGAATATTAGAACTTCTATTATATATACATATATATTGCTCATCCTTTTAAAATTGATATTTGGAGGGTACATTTTATAAGGAATGTCATATTAGTGACACTGTATATGTAAATTATTTATACATAGATGATTATAAATATATTGAAGATGTAAACTCGACCTTTTTACTGATAAGTGTACACAAAGAATTTTAGCGATCACTCCTTTAAACACCTGAGTTCTCAGACACAGTCCCTACCCTGTATTCTAGCATCACTAGCTGCTACCCTAAAAAGAAAACATGTTCTCTATCCTTTGATAGAGGTTGAGAGCTGGAAAAAAGCAATAGAAAATAGGGAGCTCTAAAAGAGAAATAACTCTATTTCCTCCAACAAATAAAAGTCCAAATCTTACTGGCTAGTTCCCTTGTCTGACGAGGGTACTAGTCAGCCTGCTCTGCTCCGCCAGCTGTTCCTAAACTCTGGGGCCCTCTGGAGGAGGAAATGCAACTGTGTCCAGATCCAAATCTTACTGGCTAGTTCCCTTGTCTGACGAGGGTACTAGTCAGCCTGCTCAGCTCCGCCAGCTGTTCCTAAACTCTGGGGCCCTCTGGAGGAGGAAATGCAACTGTGTCCAGAATAAGCTGAACTCAGCAGGACTACATTTCAAAAACATGCTGGGTAGTACCTACCTATTGGGCTATCACATCGAGACCTGCTAATGACCAAAGAGAATAATTAATTCCGGTGGCTTAGAGGTCCTCTGTTATGTCCTCCCAACCCCAGAACAGGATTAAGTTTGAAGAATCAAGGAAAATATGGAAGTGTACAAGTAGGTGATGAAAGTTAAAATGGAAGAATGATGTCTTAAGATTTTAATATTGTTCAATGCAACCATGTTAATGGTTTAAAAGGAGCAACTACAGAAATAAGTCATTCCACAGCTTCAAGCGTTCTCCATCTGATGAGACACATCAAAATCACCAGAAAAGATTTAAAACAAAACAGACAAACAAAAACCCACAAATGATTATTAATGCTCAGATCCTATCCCAGACTTTCTACAGTGGAACATTCAGGAGTGAGATCAAGAGTTTTTTAAAAAGTTATCCTGGTGATTATAATATTTACTCTTGATTGATTAAGAGCCACCAAACTTCTCAGTGACAGCAACAGTGGCAGTACAATACCAAATACTTGTTATCTGCTCCATTTTTCTGGTAGGTTTAACTCCACTTCCAAGAATAAGTCTCCTTTACCTAAGGTCACGGGAAGAGGAGAACTGGAAGGGAAGGTCCCAAACAGGCAAATCTTTCCAGATTTACTAAGCCCTAACTTAATCAACTATTTATGTCCTTCCTGTCTGCAGAAGCTCATGTACTTTTATCAGTGTCTTATCTCTAAAGCAAGTGGCAGAGAAGAAAGCATGGTACAGAGTGAGAACAGTGAATCAGAAGTCAAAGATCTGGGTGCCAGTCACTGCTTTGAAAGTGAGGAGACACAGCACTAAGCCAGACACTCTCTGGACTCAATATAACATGTGGTTAGGGGCACGAGCTATGAAATCAGACTCAACTGGATTGAACCCAAACTCTAGCCATAACTGTGAGGATTCTGGCACATTTTATAACCTCTCTGATCCTTAGTTTCCTCAGATGTAAAACAAGGGTGTACTAGTTTGTTAGGGCTGCTGTAACAAAGTAACACAGACCAAGTGGCTTAAACGACAGAAATTTGTTTTCTGATGATCCTGGAGGCTAGAAGTCCTAGATCAAGGTGTTGGCAGGTTTGTTTCTCCTGAGGCCTCTCTCCCCAGCTTATAGAAGGCTGTCTTCTCCCTGTGTCATCCATGGTCTTCCCTCTGTCTGGGTCTGTGTCCAGTCCTATTAGATTAGGCCCTATCCTAATGATTTCGTTTTAACTTAATTACCTCTTTAAAGACTTTATCTCCAAATATAGTCATATTCTGAGGTACTGAAGGTTAGGACTGCAAACTATTAATTTGGGGGTGGGGGAGACACAACTTAGCCCATAATAAAGGGTAATGCCTACTGCATAGGGCAGTTTTGAGGATTGGCAGAGACAATTCATGTAAAATGTTTTAGATGCAAGGTGTCAGGCACACAGCAAGCACTCAACAAATGGTTGCTGTTGCTTTGGTGGAGCTCTCCTAGGAGTTCAGCTGGTTTCCCAATTCAATCAAAAGGCAGCAGAAAGGAAAGGCCCCCTTCTACTATTCACCCATATTTAATTCCTTTTCTGAGATTCTCTAAGAGTACTGGGAGTCGTCAGTGCTCTGTGCTCTCTGCCTCAATTACACAGCTCAGCACCTCTGGGCATTAATCACACAGACTCTGCTTTTTTGACTCCGCCCACTCACAAGGGAGCTCAACCGGCACAAAATGGAACCGGGGCACAGCATAACCCTTACTTCCATAAGCTTCCCATTCTTCAGTTTCTTGTTTGCCCCTTTCATCGCCTACCTCATTTTTTAGTAGTAAAGTCCTTTAATCTACTTCCCTGATCAAGTTCAATACCTTATCACGATGAGCTTTTAATTGGGTTATAGGCTGATAAAAATTCAGCACAAAGACTCAATCTTAAACTACCGAGAGTGCAAGTGTACCTTGAGGCAGCAGTGTGACACAGCTTCCAAGGAACTAATCCACATGCAGGCTGCATTAATTCCGAATCCAAACCAAGAAAGGGGATAGCTTCACAGTATTCTCCACTAGTGAGCACCCCATTTTTAGAAATAACTCCATTTTGGAAGGCAATTCTGTTTTAGCTGGACTAGATGACTCCACAATTCAGCGAACATAGCCTTTATGTTTCATTCATATTGTAGTTCACTGTTCACAAGGCATTTATATAAATTTACTTCTCTTTTACTCTTTACATTAACTCCAGGAGGCAGGCAGACTGGGAACAATCACCTTCAGTTTAATAGATGAGTAAGTCTGGATTCAGCAAGGGTCAACAGCAGACTTAACATCAGGTCTCTAGATTTCTATTTCAGTGCTCTTTCTATTCTGCTATGCTGCTATTCCAGGGGCATAAAACCAATTGTTAAAAGACCTCCAAAATGTCACACCATCTATCTTTCTTCTACGAAAAGAGCAGAGCATCATGGTGGCATCATCATCATCACAGCTACCATCTGCTGAGCATTCCTGCTGTGCCAGATATATTACATGCAGACGAATGGCCAAAATCTTAACAGGCCTGCAAAGGCCTACTCATCTAGGCTCCTG